CTGCCTCAAAATAATTACATGGACAAGTCATAAATTAGCAGTCATGAAAATTCTCAGGACATGCTACAAAAAAAGAATACAGTTGCACAGGGAAATGTATGGTTGCACCAAGTGAGTGCTGTATTTTCAACTAAATGCTTCTGCATCTATATTCCACAACAGGAAAATGAACCAACAACCCTCAGAGTAATCAGTCGCTCTCAGTGCTTTCACTTTGGATTTTTGTATGGACTGGGCTAAAACCCAGATGTCTGAAATTATGTCTCACATTTCACAGGTTTTATTTGCAGAGGTATTAAAATCTTACTAGTCTCATTGACATTTCTGTTAACTTGGAGAATACAACAGACTTTTCATAGAAATTAGGTAGGCACATATGGGAAAAACATCCTAGGGAATGTATTATTACTAGCATTGGCAATTAAATGTGAAATACTGTAAAACTATCACTGGAATTATTCATTATGATATAGTATTGAAGACATGGAAATGATGATTAGGAAGTGTGCAGAAATAAATTAATACATAATTTAAAAATAATTCACGAGTAGTCTGGACCATTTGACACTCAGATAAAGGATGAAAAAACAAAGAGGATTCAATTACTCCACTTTGAACGATGTCTTGTGATGCTGTTGGGGGAGACACCATTTGTCTCTTGTGATGCTATTGGGGGAGACACCATTTGTCATGGACTGTGTCACATCCTTGCATGGAGATGGGGCACAGCATGTAAGGACAGAGTCAGCACAGCACCTCAGGATGGTGGGATAATTAGCAAGAATATATGGGGATTTAAAGATGTCAACCTTGTTCCATCTAGAATGCTCTGTCTACAAGTGAAGGGTGACACATCACTGAAAGATACAGTTTTTCATAAAGCCAGCATGCAATCTGTTGACCTTATTTTGAGATATTTCAAGTGCTTTATTGCTCTTTTCCTTTGAACAAATCTTGAAGAAACAAGAGATGTGTGAAGAGCTTGGGGATAGTAGGGCTCAGGAGAATGACATGGTTTGATTTCTTGACAGGAAAGCTCAGGAGCATCACCAGGGAAGGGAAGGGGGGGCCTTCCATGTTACATGTGAGTTAAGCAAATCAGCCACATACACCTGGTAGGCCAGCATCAGCCTTCTTTAACCTGTTCTCCTTACTGCATCAGAAGCACAGTACTCCCATCAAGCTCAGACTCTTCTTTAGATAGTCCCTGCTGAGGCTGTAACTACCTGTACATTCAACTTGCACTTTTCTCAAAGGCTGTTCTCCCCTTCTTTGCCCAGTTTAATATTCTCAGTCTCAGTACAGTTCAATATTGTTTAACTGAAGTCAAGTTCCTCTAAAACCTGTAATTTCCTTTTTTAAATATTTAAAAACTCATTCTGTAAACATGACATTTTTTCAGCTTTACATGATATCATCACATTGTAATTAAAATCTGAAAAAGCTATAATCCCATAAAGAACTGTGATATAAATTTTTAATAGTAATGATCTGCAGAAATGGACTTCAGTATTGAACCTTTAAATGGATGTCTGAAAATGTAAGAAAATATTAGATTTGATGTTCCACATAGTGTTATATTACTTGGAAAAACCTACACCAGACTATTAGCTGTCTAGCTTAGAAGCCATTTTCTTGCATTTTGCTGGTGTATTTTTACTTTTCCCATCTTTAAGCATGTTGTCTCCTTGTCTCACAGTATTGCTAGAACAGAACTCCAGGAACACAGGCTTGCACTTCTCAGATACTGAGTTGAAAGCAAATGTACAGGCTAAACAGAAATATATGCAACAATATCTAAATATAAGCCATTAGCCTGATTAGAAATACTCAGTTCCTTTAGTAGCACCAGGCTTCAACTCCAATACGTGTGGAACTGCAGAGGTTGGATTCTCTTCATTGTAGCTTGTTAGCTCAAGTTCACAAGCATTAGGACACCTACAGCTTTTGGCATCATGCAAAGGATCAGCATCAGGGTTAAATAAGGACTCAGCCAAGCAGTCTATTGATAATGTCACACATCTGTCACATACCTCATCACCACAGTGCTCTCTCATTTGTTCTACAGTAACAGATAATCAAGTCATCATAGCAGGTCACACTAAAAGCTTAATTCCATGCAGGCACAGCTTTCAAAGGCCATTATGCTGTCACTGAGCAATTAACATCAAAGATAGTATTAAGCCAATACCCCATCACAGGCTGGGGCCTGCTGATAAGACAAGTGTCAAAAAAAAGAGCTCTGAACTGAGGAACTTAAAGTCTAAATAAAGAAAATCCCACCTTCACTTGAAAGCAAAATAAACTGTTAGATGGTGGCTGTTTATCAGAAGCAAGAAAGGGCAGTGCAGCACAGTAAGTGCAGGATGTATTGCACTTACACTGGCCCTGAGCAGGCACAGACCACTCTCTGCTGTTGTCCCAGCTGATCAGGGCAACCAGAGTCAGATTAGCAGAAAGAGGAAAATAGCAAAATTATGTTTATGGAGAATAACACACAGAAGTTAAACTACAAACTTAGACTTCATATCGTTAGATTTGTGTTGCTTCTTGGTCAAAATATAAACAAGTACTTTGGCTCTCTTTTTTATCCAAGTTCCTTGCAACTCATGGGGAACATTCTTAATTCTCCTTGCATAAAACACCACAATGCCCATCCTTGAGACTCAACTTTTTGCTATTCATTCTCCAGCATATAAAATCTGAATTTACTTGTCAGCTTGATGCTGGAATTCTTAAACTGTGGAGAAGAAATATTCCCCAAGTTGAGCAAGATACTCACAACATCTCAATATTTTTTGGTATCTCAGTATTTGTCTCTTATCCTACCAGCTCCCATAGGCTTTTTGTTTCTTTAAAAGCAAACAAACAACCAACCCACCACCAAAATCCCCATATACCTCTCACAACTAGGACATGCATTTTAGTAGAAAGCTCTACTAATGGGTAACTTTCTGGTATTCCAAAACTACAATCAACTTTTCTGAATTCAAATGACGAGTTTTAATCTGAAAACAAAATAAAACAAAACAAAACAAAAAAAACCACAAACTGGTAAAGATTTCTGTTATTAATAGAACAAAATATTTTAATGTCTTTTGGAGCACCAGCTGCATTGAGTACTTTCTCATAAAATTTCTGATAAATTTTCTTTTCTTTTCCTCCTCTGCTGTGTCTGAACATATAATATTTTAGACCTTTGTTTCACATCAGTCCCTAGTCAAAAAAGCTATTTTTCATTCAAATCTCATTTGCACATATCCATAATTTAAGGACAAAGTGTGTATGTGTTCCTAATTACCTCCAAAGGATGTTTGATGAACCTGTGAAAATTAAGGAAAAACCCCCAAGCAGTCATATTACAGTGAGAAAAATGAAGCATCAAAACTAAACCACCAAATACCTTTACACTGCATTTTAGTGTTATCAGACAATATATAGAACATTTAAGAATAGATCATGTTGATGCTTAAAAGTTCAGAGAAATAAATCTAATGTAAAGACTTTCTTTTTTCCTTTGATGCTTCTTAGTTTCTCTGACAAGTTTGCTTTTCAGTAAAAGTTGTTTGAAATATTTGAGTTAAATAATGTAAGGGAGCTTTTTTCAAAAAAAAAACAACCTGAAGAAGAAAATTAAAAAAAAAAAAATATATTCTTTTGCTACAGCTTTCTTCTGACTACTTTCAGAATTTCCTGAAAGAGGCATTTCCAAGAGAAATTATTTTTAAAAATATAATTATTTTAATATCACAAAATCACAGCACAGGTGAGGCTAAGGGTCCACAGTGGGTTAGCAAGTCGAATAATAGCAAAATAATGGAGGAGAAATTTTAATAGCAAAATTTTGTTTCTGCAAAAAAAGTGGTAGGATACCACCCAGATTATCTGGAGATGGTTGTACCCAGTGCTTATTGAGATCCCATGAGCAGAAACAGCATCTTCAGTACACTGCATACACTGACTCTCCCACATATTCTTCAAAGGCTGTGTACAAAATGGTCTTCGATGAAAAACTGGGATGGTACATTCAAAACATGGCAGAGCAGTGAAATTCAGCATTAGAACAGAACCAGAAGAATATTGAATAATGAATACACTAATACTTAAAAAAAGTGCTGTTCTATTCCTAGCACTGAGACTAAGATTTGGCTGCAGGTTTATTACCACAATACATTTGGGAGCAAACCATCCAGGGAGTTTTCCCAGCATCTGGTTGGCATTACTGCTTGAAATTACTCACTGGGTGTTCTCCCATGGTATCTCAGAACAAACTACACAGAATTACCAAGGCAATTGCTCTGTCTCTGCACTTCCCTGTGAGCTGCTAAATAACTAAAGCTCATTTCATATACCAGAAACATGCAGCATGAATTTGGCCAGCTATACTGCAATTATTCCTCCAGATATTTTAAATCAAATTATTTAGGAAGGAGAATTACTGGAAATTAAATTGAGCTACCAAAACCAAAGCCATGACATGCTCCAAGAACTCCACTAAAAATACGTTGTATTAAATTTTAAGTTGTACTACTCTGTTTGATTCACTGTGGCCAGTGTATTTAAAAACATAGGGGAGAAGCATAAAGAGAAGAAACGTAGAAGCCAGTGCTAACTATGTGAGAGATGTAGAATAACCTTATTCTATAGGCCCAAGTCCTCTTTTAGAGGGATATGATGTGAGCAAAGGCTCAGAGATGACACATATTTTTCCAGAGCAAAAGGTGGTCTGAAAGAGAATGAGGACTATCTCAGGAAGAACTAGGTAGGATATTGCACACGGTTTCAATGCACAGTTCTGACATCTTTGTAGTCACTCCATCAAGACTCACAAATAACATATGCACCTTGCAATCTCAAAAAGTCCTAATAATGACCATAACACTGCTAACCATTAAAACTGTTGCCTAGATAGTGTCTGTAAATTGATCCCTCAATTAAAATGTTTGCAAAGACCAAGGGAAGCAAGGGCTGTCACTGATAGCCCTCTGCCTTGCTTACAGATGAACTCCTGAAAGAAACACCTTTCCCACTGAATTCCACTTCTGTTATGGAGCCATTTTCCTTCTCAAGCTGGTTAAATGACCATCGTTGTGAAATAAAACAGAAAAAGTCCTTAAGTATGTTTGGAGATAATTTTGAAACAGAGGTAAGGGGGTATAATTTCTCTATAAAAAAAAAAAGAGATATTTTTAAATGTACAGATTATTGGTGCCTGCTGCTCAGAAGGAGTGAATCCAGGCCTGGGATCAATGTACAGTCAGCAGACAAAGTTAGGCACCCCAGTCTTTGGTCCATTGATTTGACTAGCTTAGGGCAGGGGCTTTCTTTTTTCTTTTCAATACCTCCATGTCCAGAATCTACCTGAACTTTATTTCTGTTCATTTCCTTTGGGATTAAAACAGCTCATTCATTACCCAGTCCCTCTCCCCATATTTCCCAAATCAGAAGCACCAGTATGATACTAATCAAGGTTCTTTATGTGTTTGAGCAGCATTCATGGTCCAAGTCTAATCTGGGTGTGTAAACACACTTTTTTTTCCTCCCTCTCCATCTACGTAAAGTGGAAACAAGAAAAACTGGACAGCAACCAGAGAGCCTGGGCTGCTCTAAAACATTCCACTTCACAGTTTAGTCAAACACAGCCTAGTTCGGGTGTAAATGAAGCTGTCAACATTTGATATCTGTGCTGAACATGTGATGTTTACAAAACATATTCTTCCCCAGAATTACTTGGAGTCACACTCCAAAGAATCCAATACAGCTGACAGCAAAGTGACAGAGTGTGGGAATGTCAGGAAGAACACAGAGGGGATAGAAAATGACAAAGATTAAGTCCTGTCTGCAGCATTTTTAATGTTAATGGAAGAAACCTTTCTACTTCAACAGGCTCTTGACAGGGCCCGGAGTTCATGAGGAGGAAGTGCCTGTTCCAGGAACAGAAGCAGGAAACATATAGATGCAAAACTGAGAGTGGGAGGAGGCAGGAGGAGTAGATCAGCAAGTATACAGAGGAGCATAAGGAGTGGCAGGTGTGACCAGCTCCCTTTTTATCAGTAGGAATCAATATGAGAAAACCAAACATAGTGTGAATTTTAATGTCTGCAAAAATAATGTCATCTTCTATGAATATTCTCCTGTAAAAATAGAATGTTTTAAATGCTGTTGGGAGATGAATATGGGCACTTTGGTCATTTGGATGAAACCATTCCTTTTTTTTTTTTTAGGCTATAGCTTATGGACCAGGAACAACTGAGAAAAGTAAAAAGGATTCAGATATCTGGATATGGCAGCTGGTATGTGGCAATTCACACTTGTTAACTGATGAGTTCATGTTTAAGTTCAAACTGAACAGTAGTAAAGCCTTCTAGCAACAGAAACTGGAATCATTCCCTTCCTTCTCACAGAAAAGATCACAAATAGGCACCACCTTTCAGCTTTAAACTGTAATGAAAAATAACTGTAAAGTGCTGCCACAATAAAAATAGCCTCTTTTTCCTCATCATGTATGTTGATGACAGAGATACTGGCATCCATCCTTGTTGGGAATTTTCATGCACACTACCTAGGCTATATCCTGTAAGTATATGAGCTCAAGCAATAAAGCAACATCACCTCTTATAGTTCTGCCTTGAAACATTTGCCCTCATCCTGAAGTCAAACTGGAATCAAGTAGAATAAGCTAATAAATAAGTCTGAAAACTTGTTTATATTCACTCAGAATTGCAGGTGATCCAGCTGTCCTTCATTCAACTCGCTTCTAGAATGCATTTGCAACCCAAAGAAAAGCTAATTTTTGCTTACACAAGTCAGGCTAGCTCAGGAGGCAGATATTTTTATTAGTTCCTCTTCTGCTGAAATTCACAGGGACTATCAAATGCTAATTAAAGAAATCATAATTTTGAAGGACATTTGTTTACACTGCAGCTTACATCAGCCTGTGGAATCAAGACCTTGTGGCTGGCAAGAACCTGTCTCCCCTGCCTGACAAGATAATAACCAGTGCATTCCAATATGGAGAGACTCAGCAATTTCAGTCAGCCCCCTGCCGACTTGTGAATTGCTCCTCAAGACTTAAAAAGCTATGAAGAATCAGAAAAGTAGGAGAGGAGCTTAAACTACTCAAGAAGATTCTCTCTGTAATTTCTGGAGCTGTACCAACTTGTAGGCTGCTAGGTTAGATTGGTGGCAGTGTACCCCAAGAATCAGGCAATGGGTTGCTGCTTTATGATAGTAAACAATGTACAATTAAACATATTTTTATTGATGATAATAGTGTTAGACAGACATGATCAACTGAATATTTAGCTAGACCTCATGAAACAGAACAGGTTTAAGGTGTTCTTTCAGTAGGACAGATTTCCGTACATGCAGCATTTTCTTTCTGCTGGGGACAGGACATGGAAAATTGAAAGCCTTCTTTCCTTTCAGGAGGGCACATCGACTGTTGCCATGGATGGTAAATCCCTGACACTCTCTGCTGGTGACAGCCTGCTTGTCCGTGCCCAGTCTGTGTGAGTAGAGATGAGCAGGGGCTCAGAGCATGATCCCCCAGCTTCCAGCCACGTAAATTCTGTGTATTCAGTGCACACCGTGTTGGGCATCACTGGTGCAGAAACACAGCATCTGTGAATGCAGGATTTGCAACAGCCTCTGTTATTTCTCGGGGCAAAAGTGTTTTCAGGAGGAAAAGAGAGACATTCATTCCAGTTCACCTCTTATGATAAAAGCTGGAGAAAATTAAAAAAAAAATAAAAAGAAAAGAAAAGAAAAAGAATGAGGGGAAAGAAAGAGAGAAAAAGAATGAGGGGAAAGAAAGAGA